ATTTCTCACTTGAACAATCGAATTTTGGCAATAATCCCATGTTCATTAATTTCTTTATCGACTTATAGTTAACGTGTCATAATCTAGCATGCCATAAATTAGGAGACTCAAGCACATAAGCAGAAACAACTTTATTCATAACATCATTGGGTACAACAGTCATTACATTCAACTTGAAAAGACCATCACTAAGGTAACCCTTTCCTACATACATCTCATTCTTGGAGAGTACAAACTTATCGGATACAAAAACCAACTTGAAGCCATTCTTGCTAAGAAGAGATCCGGACACTAAATTCTTGCGTATGTTTGGCACATGTAACACATTATTTAGTGTCACAACTTTCCCAGATGTCATCTTTAGAGCAACCTTTCCAATACCTTCAACCTTAGAGGTCGATGAATTACCCATGTAGAGTTTTTCATCACCTTCCATAGGCATGTAAGATGAGAACATTGATTTATTGGCGCAAATATGACGAGTTGCTCCAGTATCAATCCACCACTCCTTGGGGTTTCCCACCATATTACACTCGGATATCATAGCAGTTAGATTGATATCATCAACACCATTGGAAATTTGTTCCACCACATTCGCCTGAGTCACCTTCTTTTTCTTGGCTCTACAGTCTTTGGCACGATGTCCAGACTTTCCACAATTGTACCATTTGCCAATGAATTTTTTCAAGCCTTGGGTGGATCCTTGTCCATAGGTTTTCCTCTTCTTGTTGGGTTTTGATCCTTCTTCAACAACATTGGCTCTTGGTACCGCCAGATTGCTGCCAACTTTCTTCTCGGAATTCCTATTGTCTTCCTCTATCCTCAACCGAACAATCAAGTCTTCAAGTGACAACTCCTTTCTCTTGTGTTTGAGATAATTCTTGAAATCTCTCCAGGATGGTGGCAATTTTTCAATGAATGCAGCCACTTGAAATGTCTCACTTAGAGTCATTCCTTCAGCATGAATATCATGCATAATCACTTGAAGCTCTTGAACCTGACTTAAGACGGTCTTTGAATCAACCATCTTGAAGTCCAGAAATTTACCGACAATGAATTTCTTCAATCCGGCATCTTCGGTTTTGTATTTCTTGTCCAGACTATCCCATAACTCTTTAGCCATTTTTAGCGGACTATATACGTTATAGAGAGTATTGTCCAGACCGTTGAGGACATAATTGCGACACAGGAAGTCAGAATGATTCCATGCATCCACAGCAGCCAACTTTTCTTTATTTGTCTCTCCAATGTCCAATTTAGGACCATCCTCATTGAGGAATCTTGCCAAGTTCAAGGTTGTAACATAGAACAACATCTTTTGTTGCCATCTCTTGAAATCCGTACCATTGAACTTTTCTGGCTTTTCTCCGTGATTCGGAATAGGATTAACTGGAGTCGAAGCCGAAGCCATTTCTGAAATATAAACACAGAACATATTCACGAACAGAATCGGAAATATATGACTACGAACAGAATTGAAAATTTCTAATATGAACAGAAACGAAAAATTTGTAACAAGAACAGAATGTGTGAAAAGAATGTCCGAACAGAATCGTATTCTATACGACTATGACAAGGAACATACGAACTATACAAAAGTTCGAATTAAAGAAACGGCAATATGATATATGATAGAAAAACTCAATGAACAACGCATAAGAATATACGAACAGAACCGAAGTAAATTCGAAAACAGAATAACAATTCAACGTAAATTCGTCTTAAGATTGTTGTTCGGCTAAGTTCGTATATCAGAGATTAAAATCAAACGTTAGGAAAACTAACCTGAAAGCAGTACAACCAAATAAGCAGAATGTTGATCCGAGCCCAACGAATTAACGTCGTGTCCTTAAGACGAATTTGGCCCCTCAATCGCACCCGAGGATATTGGACAATCGTCTCCCGGGATAGAACGGATCTCGTTCCTCCGGCGGTACGTATTCGGAGGACTCCAACGAACGCAATTTTGCGGAACAATCGCACCAAATGACAATGATGAAGTGAATATGCGTAGAGTGCGTCGGGAAAAAATGAATGCCACGAAGTGATGTCTATTCCGAACTAAACTGTTCGGTCTTATTCAAGTGGCGAAAAATGAAGAGTTGCGAATTTTCGTGAACAGTAGCGAAGGTTCACTTGAACCGGTTCGGTTCGTGAACAGTCGCGAAGGGCTTCGATTTTCCGTTCGGGCGAACCGAACCTCACGAACAGACATGTTTATTTGTCCAAAAAATAAATAAATAAATAAATTCTAAACAACGTGTCTGTTCGGAAAAAATAAAAAACCGATAGAGAGTGGACCCGGAATCGAACCGAGCCGGAAGGCGGCGGCGGGCGCGCGGGGGGTGGACCGACCTAGCTTGACGTAGGTCATCTCTCTTCCACAAAAGTGGGGTACCCCTTGGGGCCCAAACCCATTTGTGAGGCTCAACTATTTGAACCTATCTCCCATCTCTCTTCACCCTATGTGGGACACTTTCAACCACACACTTCTCATTCAATTCTATGGGATTTTGGTTCCAAAATCCCAACGGCATCTCCACTGTATGTCCTCACGACCCAGGCTCCCGACAAGGTGCTGCGTGTATCACAGCGTTTGAGAATTTTACTTTTCATGCAAAAAGTCAATTCATTGGACTCCTCATGTTCTCCTCCTCCTTGTCAGGAACAAGGGCTGGCTGTCCTAAACGAGGCCATTGAAGCCTGCGCCGAAGCTATAGAGCGCCACAAGGGCAAGCTCGTGGTGAAGAAGGCGCCCGCAGCAGTGAGTAATACTATCTCTGTTCATGTGTCTCTCTCGTCGGTGAAAATTCTGCACACGTTTTACTTCAAATGTCTGATATCATACGTACGTCAATCTAGGTGAGTGTACAGGACAACGGATTGCTCGCCGTCGCCGGGCGCATGGGTCATGAGCTAGGCCTCAATGACAAGGAGGACAGCATTGACGACGAGGCCGGCGAAGGAGAAGGAAAATAGGGCGGCTCGTGGCCTCCGTGGCCCTGAATGATCAGCCACTTCCTCGCGGCCTTCGATTGCGGCAGCATGTGAAGATTAAACACGGGATCATAGTTGTAGGGAGATCCATTTGTAGTAACTCCTCAATTTTCTACTTTCTCATTTCCCATCAATGCCAAATGCCTATTTTACCTCGATGCTCGATTTGAATTTTAAGTTTTTGGTCGGAAGAAAAATAAAAAAAATTGTACGGTCATTTGAGAATCAAAGCGAAGAGAGGAAATGATGTGATTTTTGTCTATATTTAAACTAAGAAAATATAAGCGCATAATTGAATAGTGAATACTCTTTTAGTGCGCAACCCGGGCCGGGAATCCGAAGACCGATCCGAATTGTCCTTCCAAACCCGACTCCGAAAATTTTTTCTCCCTCCAAAAATGAAAAACTCTCTCTGTCTCTGCAATGGCAACTCATGGTCCGAACCTGGAGTGCCGGATGTGCGAGGCGAAGTACCTGGAGATCGATCGATATGGCGGTGATGATACAAGTGAAGAACATGGCCGAAGATGGGCCCGTACTTGTCCCTTCTTGAGTACAACAATGTCGAGGGCATTGATCCTCTTCTCGGAACTCTCCCCCCACCGCATCCGCTCTGTCAGCAGCCACATCAAGGCCGGCCACATCGGAGTCATCATGGTCCTCCGTGTCGACCGCGGCAAGAGGGCTACATCGACCTCAGCAAGTGCCGCATCGCCGAGGAGGGACATCCTCGTCTGCAAGGAGCGCTACAACAAGAGCAAGCTCGTCCCACTCCATCATGCGCCACGTCTCCGAAACGCTCAGCGCCGACCTCGAGGTAGTGTTTTTTTTTTGGGATTCTAAACTGTTTTGTGTGTAATCTGCTGCAAAATGTGGTTGCAATGGCATTGAGTGTGGAACTCGGAGGCGATTCGAATTGAACTTTGCATAGGCTAGCGCTAATCTGTTCAGCACATTGCTGTGCTTGAATGTTCCCTTAGCAAGTCATGTTATTGCGGTAGCAATTTGGGTCAGTTTCGCAAGGGTTGCTATTTAGTTGTCTTAGCTGTACGTTGGCTGAGGAGGAGTTTCGCACAACGTTTTCGTGCGGCAACAGCAAGGCAACAGCAGATAAGTACTTTGAAATTTCTGGTTGGTTGTGGTCTTCATTTGATTTCTTTAAATTCGTGTTGTCAAGGGTATAGATAGCTTTGCTGCAAGCATCCCACTCAATGGCAGTCATTAAGCAAATCAGGATGCTGGAGATGGATCGAGCAAAATTGCAGTTGAAAGCTCGGTCTTTCTCCCTCCAAAATTGCAGTTGAAATGCATCTCAAGAACAGTTAAGTGATGCAGATGGTTATAGCTAGCTCATTGGCAGACGGGCAGGCCTGTGCGGTTGCAGATTTTGCCTGTGTGCAAATTCAAACGAGACAGGCTACTCATGTGGGTTTGTATTGTATTGTCTCCGATGCAATGTTCCATACCGCACGTTTAGGTCTGTCTCGCGAATTCTAATTTTATGTTTAGTGTCTGCTCCTCGAATTCTCCGACACCCTGCTCACCTGATCAAACTGTACTTCTTTGGCTAATGTTTCCCCTGATCCGATGTTAGTCTGATTCGCTATAGCAGGATTTGTATGTCCATATCGGATGGCCCCTGTACAGGAAATATGGTCTTGCTTTTGAGGTAGCATTTGGGCACAAGTTTGGGGGTGGTGTTTTCATGGTTTACTCTTTAAAATATGAGCTTGGAAACACTTCATTTGTGGGCAGCAAATAAACCGGAAGCCATGCTTGCAATGCTTTTAATGAGACTACATTGCGAGATTCACAAGTAGCAGTCGTACGAGACTTTTAAAGCGCTCTGATAATTAACTTCACGGGTCGGTCTGACGATGCCGTGTATCGTGGCCAATCCAACAGCCGGCAATAGAGGAACTCGATCCGACGGCTCGCGTTATCATGTAATCCGACGGTCGACATTGATTGGCGAGCGTCCGACGGCCCATAACTCGCACGACTACACTCAAAAAGTGTTTGAAATTCTACACCAAATTCAACCCAGAAGGCTTTGATTTATGTACAGGCCAATTTCATACATATTTAACCTATGGGCAGGGGACAGACATCAATCTTACCTAATCTCCAGAAACTACAGAGGACATATATAAGCGTGGAACAATAAGCATAGTCACAACGACGACGCGCAAGATAACGTCGAATTGTCTCCGACGAGCTTGCCATCGGCGGCTTCCGCCTTCCTGGAGTAGCAGAAGAATTCATCTCTGTAGCTATAGACCTGCCTAGTGTCGGCCGTACCTGAGAGGACATTGTGATCCCTCACCTCCATCCAGCCCCTAGAATCCTGCACATTGCGAACCGAGCTCGTTGAATCCCCGTCGGAATACCTCTCCACCTGCGCGTGCGTAACGTTGGTCACGACCACGTAAGTGTCTTTCTTAGACCCCGGTAGCGTCGAGGTGATCACGCGAAGCGGGTAGCTCCTCCTGACGATCGCCCGGGCGAGCGAGACGCCGGCCTCGTCCTTGATCCTGACCCCTCTCCTTGCCTTCATCTTCTGCCTAACAAGCTTATCGGTTCCGTTCCTAGTGAAGGTGATCGAGTTCTTGACTCTGTACTCCGTCGACACTATCGTCGTCAAATTGCCGGCGCTCGACTTGACCCACCCGGCGAACTGCTCCCTCCTCTTCGCCTTCACCTTGAACGATCCATCGAGCTCTTTGAACTGCGATTCGCGCTCCACGCTATGCGCGGGAGGGGCGTACGCCACGGACTTCGCCTGAACCCTTTTCGAGCCGTGATCTAGCCACAGGTGCAGGTTCGCGTTGACGAGCCAATACGAAATCCCGTCGGCCACCCCGATCGCGAATTCGTGCGCCTTGCAATCCAAAAGCGTGCCGAGGAAAGGCGTCAGCTCGATGTCGTAGGAAGGCAGGACGAACGCGCCGATCGCGACGATGGGCTCCCAGAACAAGGGATTGATGCCTCCGGTGAACACGACCGGGAACGGGACCTCCGAGCCGACCAAGTTCCCGTCGATCATCACCAGGACCTCCCTGTAAGCTCCGTTGCCGCGCCCCGTCGTCAGATTGTTCTCCCTGATGTACGAGTCCGGAGGGTTGGAGTACCAGAACTCGTCGTTCCCGTGGAACGACACGCAGAGCTCGAGCACCGCGCGCACCGTGTTCGCCGGAATCCGAATCCGCTTCGAATGCAGGTCCGACGCCCTCTCGATCCGAAACCAAGAACCTCTGTCCCCATCGTCCGACACGGGAAAGATCAGATCGGCCGGCGACGAAGTAGCTGAATTGACACTATCTTCGGCTGCAGCTCCGCCATTTCCACCAAATTCCTCCAACCCAAGCCCTAAATTCGAGGCCGACCCTCGATCGGAGAGCTGATTCACCGGAACCCCCGGCCTATCGCCGCCCCCCTCGTTGGAGTAGAACAAGAGAGTGACGTTGACGTGGTAGATTCCGGTGAACTCGTCGTTGATGATGTTCTCCAGCATCATGGTGACCTCGAGGTTGGACCGGGACAGGAGGGAGGAGTACCTGGTGACGTCCTTGCGGACCGTCCAGAAGACGCCGCCGTCGTTGGGCTCGGCGGTGCTGGTGCGGAGGAGCTCGGCGCCGCCGAGCCAGACGGCGGCGATGCGGTCGTACTGGTCGCCGCGGGAGGAGGCGGAGAGCTCGAGGACGACGGCGGACCAGGGCGGGGAGGGGCAGAGCGGGGAGGGCGGGGGCGGGGAGTAGGGGGCGGAGAAGGGAGGGGAGCCGATGGTGTGGGCGAAGGAGTGGGCGACGATGCGGTGGGCGCAGGCGGCGGGGAGGAGGGAGGAGGGGAGTGGGCGGGTGAGCTCGATGTACTGCTGCGGCGAGCGGCCGGGGAGAGAGGGCCGCTTGCGGAAGCGGTCGGGGAAGGAGGCGGCGGCGGCGGCAGCGGCGAGGAGGAAGAGGAGGAGGAGGAGGACGGCGGTGGCGGCGGGCGGCTGCATCGTCGAGGTGACTTTGGTACGGACGGTCTTGGATGCTTCTATGTGATGATATACCGTGTGGCTTTTAGTTTCACCTTTTAAGTTGCTTGTTGATTTGGAAAATTTTAATTTAACGTCTTGCACGTACCCGCACTGAGTTCATAGACATTAGTACACATATAGTCCGGATCAATAACGTAAATGTAATCCATTAAACTTGTGTGGCACGTCTAGTCCGCCGGACAATAAAGAGAGCGGGACATGAGGGGATTATTATAAGGGCTAGTGATAATTTAAGACCGGTATATTATCTCACGACAACGGCTTTTGTCGCCGCTCCAAATGCCTTTGAATCCTTATTTTAAGAAACTCGGTACATTTCTTTTCTCTTTTAACTGTAAAGGCCAATGTAGTAATTCGATATAAGTTCACTTTCTCCGTTGACTCCCCTCTCTCTCTCCCCGGGAAAATATTCAATGGTTTGTGAATGTCGTTTTAATAGCTGATGTGGTGTATATTTTTTTTCCACCCTGAATTTACTACAAATGGATGCGGATTTAGTTGAACAAAATATAAAAATCTCAATCCACCTTACTTTTCTTCCTCCATCCACACTTCCTCCTTCATCTCCGGCCACCTCGAGCCCATCCTCCCGGCCTCCCTCTCTCGTCGCCACCAGCGGAGTTGTTGGCGCCATGTCCAAGGCGACCATTATCGGGCGTCCAACCCTCTCTATTGTCTTTGTGGTTAGTGTTTGTCACGTCCCGAACCAACTCACGATCGATACGATGTGACCGACCATGACCGGAACAAGCCCGTGACGCAAGGAAAATCGTTAGAACGTCCCGTTTCGTTTTAAATTAAAGCGCAAGCGGAAGCAAAACAAACGAGACAAATCCAAGCAAGATAAGCAAACTTCGTACGTTGTATTTACATGATGGACTCGTGCTTATTTTACATGCCCTATCTCGGGCCAAGCAAGCCGCACACTAGATTTTTCATATGCCTATTTCAAAGGCACCTCCAAGTACAAGCCATATAAACAACAAAATTTGGCTTGGGTCCCTAGCTTCTTTGCGGCTACTAGCTTCTCGCTCTCGCTCGCTCCTCGCTTCTCGCTCGCTCCTCCCCGCCCTCGTCCGTACGGCCGTCCTCACGCCCCGCCCATGGCTGATCCCGGAGCCGACTCGCCCGTGCCATCAAAGGGACCGCTAAACCCACGAAGGGGTCCGACCCAGTCCCCGTTGGCTAGGCGGTACCAAGCCACGTACGGGTGCGGGACAAGGTCTTCCCGGCCTTCGTCAACCATTACGTACGTCGTAATCCGGCGGTATGCACGGTTCTCATGGGCATCAATCACCGTCAGTAGCTCGGCTCTCATCTCGATGGGATTACCGAACCGGGTCGGAGGAGGCGCCATGTTACGGACCTAAAAAAAAGAGGAAAACAACGGGGAGTGAGTCGAGGAGACTCAGCAAGTAAAAACCTTAATAACGAGCGAGAGCATATCGATCGTCATAACATGCGTTGATTCTTACCGTACCGGCCTCAATGGTTACTCAAACAGACGTGCATGCCAAGTATAACAAGAAAACTTCAAGCATGGCTATTTCATGGTCATCTCGCCTCGGTTTAAAGTTTGGAAACGAACGTCATGCAAAACATGAAACAAAACAAGCAAGCCATCTAAATTCGACATCGAATCACCAAAGGAACAAGAAACGGGTCGAATAACCACGATACGACGTATCTCAACGTCCTTTCCCGGCATTAGGGAATTTACTTACTCAACAGGGTAAAACAAGAATAGGAAAGGGAACGGCGGAACGGGGGCCGAGGGGTCTCGGGTGGTTCTGGGCTCACGGCGATCTCACGGCTCACGGGTTTTCGAGTGTGAATTGAAGTGGCCGAGCACTCTCTCTCTCTTTCTCGGTTAGCTCTCTCTCTCTCTTGCTTGTGAAAAAGTGTGGCAAATTTCTCCTGATGGCATCTATTTAGGGATAAGTACAGCGCAAGTGCCATAACTTTTGTACGGAGGACACTTAAATGCCATAACTTTTTTTTGGCTCACTTAAGTGCCATAACTTTCAAAAAAATGATCGCTTAAGTGCCACTTACGAGCTGGTCGTGAGGGCCTGAAACCGCGACTTTTCCGGCCGAACAATGACCTTCCCGATGAGGCGAGCACCACCAGCTTGAAGAGGGGGTGTCGGTGAATCATTCCATGGCCTCCGTTCGTCTCGAAATTTCCGTTTTAGCCTCCGTTGACGAAGGTAAAAATGCTTCGTAGTCGCACAATTTATCGAGCCGATTTGTGTGACTACGAATCATTTTTACCTTCGTCAATGGAGGTTAAAACGGAAATTTCGAGACGAACGGAGGCCATAGAATGATTCACCGACACCCCCTCTTCAGTTTAGTGGTGCTCGCCTCGCCAGGAAGGTCACCGTTTGGCTGGAAAATCCGAGGTTTCGGGCCCTCACAACCAACTCCTTTGACAAGCTGGTCGTGAGGGCCCGAAACCGCGACTTTTCCGGTTGAACGGTGACCTTCCCGGCGAGGCGAGCACCACCAGCTTGAAGAGGGGGTGTCGGTGAATCATTCCATGGCCTCCGTTCGTCTCGAAATTTCCGTTTTAGCTTCCGTTGACGAAGGTAAAAATGCTTCGTAGTCACACAAATCGGCTCGATAAATTGTGTAACTACGAAGCATTTTTACCTTCGTCAACGGAGGCTAAAACGGAAATTTCGAGACGAACGGAGGCCATAGAATGATTCACCGACACCCCCTCTTCAAGCTGGTGGTGCTCGCCTCCCCGGAAAGGTCATTATTCGGCCGGAAAAGCCGCGATTTCGGGCCCTCACGACCAGCTCGTAAGTGGCACTTAAGTGATCATTTTTTTGAAAGTTATGGCACTCAAGTGAGCCAAAAAAAAGTTATTGCACTTAAGTTTCCTCCGTACAAAAGTTATAGCACTTGCGCTTACTTACCCCCATCTATTTATAGAGAGGCAAAACTTGGGGCCAAAGTTTGGATGAAGTAAGCGCACGTGTCATTGGAACATGAGGTAAGCGCACGTGTCATTTGGGCATTGAGGTCATCACTTACCTCGCAGCTTCATTAATAACAAGGGACAAAATTTCATGATGAAGAATCAATAATTCTCTCTCTCTCTCTCTCTCTCTCTCTCTCTCTCTCTCTCTCTCTCTCTCTCTCTCTCTCTCTCTCTCTCTCTCTCTCGGCTCCCCTCTTCCCTTGGCCGAAACTCACTATTTGTTTGGGCAAATAATTAGTGCCTTGGTGACTCAAGGGCTTCATAAATGGGATCATAAATGGCTGGTCAGAAAATTATTACATGGGGACACTAAGTCAAGCAAGCATTAATGAAGGCAATAATGGAGAAGATAAGCTTGGACTTGGTCAAAGGCTTCTAGGTTCTTCTTTGCAGCTCACGTGAGCTCCTATGCTGCTTATCTAAGGGCTGGTTTCTGTCCAAAATCACTCGGATCAAGAGGCTCTCGCAAAAACATGCAAATAACGCCTAAAACGAACCCCGCATCATACTTAGATTAATCACTTTCCGAGATTTTCCACGACAAAACATGTATAATAATCTCGTTCATCCCGAGGTTCGGCGCGGGAATGTCCTCCAATATCACCAAAAGACATCAAGTCGAGATTCCAACGTTCTCATATAGAAATTGATAAATCTTTGAAATTTGATAAAACCGGATAGTTTTGCACTGTTCACGAAATCGGACTTGTAAACATAGTAAATGGACTCCGAAAATTCTCAAATTTGAATATGTCATAAACAAGACCTTAACAAACATTTTTCATGAAGAACATGAAATCTGAATCTCTCTGTAAACACCACTGTTTTGTAGCTCAAAGACAGACTAAAAACAGTTTACTAAAAACAGTTTACTGGAACAGAATTCTTATTTCTCAAAATAAGCTCTGCCCATAATCCAGATCATCTCGAAAATTTCCCAAATTTATATACGTTATAGAAAAGGAAGTTCTCAACAACTTTTGTGAAGGAAACTTTTCCAAAATCGGCCCAGAAAAGCTTGTAGAAAATAAAGAAAGGGGGAACATCACCGAAATACCCATCCTGGGCAGTTTTACACGGTCCGAAAATCAGGCCATCGTATCACTCATATCAACTCCAAAAATTCTGAAATTAAAGTATGTAAAACTTCAAGATGTTTGGAGAAACTTTCAAGAAGAAAGTGTTTGGAAATTTGGATCACAAAAGTCTCCCCAAAAATAACAAAATGAAGGCGTACAAAGGATCCGAAATTGGGTTTTCCAAAATAAGAGTAAAAAATTTAGTTCCAATTGGAAAACCACTAAACTTAAACCATAGCCATTTTCCAGGGAATGAAATTGAGGATGTTACAGTATTTCTTCCCTTAACTTCGTTGCCACAGATCAGGACGGAGTTGCAAATCTAGAAGCCGACCACCGTCGCTCACGGCCATGGATGAGTTGCTGTCGTCGAACCTATGGTTGCAAATCTGGAAGTCCCGTCGCGGCCATGGATGAGCCGATATGGTCAAATTTGGAAGGAAGTTTGCTCAAATATGGAAGCTCAACGATGGCGATGGTGGCCGTGGCGAGGTTGTCCGGATCTGAAGGCATCTCGAAGTTCACCGTCGGGATCTCGACCACAACCATCGCTGTCATGGACGAGCCTTTCTCGTGTTCGGAGAAGACGAAGACGAAGAAAAGCTTCATGATTCATTCTCACTTTTTCCTTTTCTCTGTTTTTTTTATATTTCAAGCTGCATTGTCTAAAGCAAGCGACACGAGACTTCAAGAGTAGCGTCGGCCAAACTTTTAGATTGTGCTCGCGGCCATGGATCTAAATCTGGAATTCATGGCCGTGAGCTCCAAATCAGGAGCCAGGCTGCAAGCAACGATGGTTGTTTGGTGTCAGCGGCCATGGACCGTCAGATCTCAAGAGTCGGCCAAAATGACGCCAACGCAATGCCGATGGCCATGAATGCTGAATGCTAGGGGTATCGGTTTCTGAGTGGTCTAATTCCCGCCCAGGAGCCAGGAAACAGTTCCCAATTTTTGGAACCACAAACCGGACTAATGCCCCCTAAAACTGGCGGCATATTCAATTTTATTTTTTTGATTCGTTGTTAATGTTGAAATTAAAGATATTCTTGATAATCAAAACATTTCTACAATCAATGAGTTATGTGTAACATTATAGGTTTCACGGAGATTTTTCTAATTTGTGGCAAAATTTGATTGGAATGAGCAACTAATGTTATATTTTGGTTTGATCTTGTCATTTTACTTACTTGGATAAGTAAACGTAATCGCTCCAGTTTTGAAGGACCTTCTTTTATGAAATGGAAGATACATTATGGTTTTCTTTACAAATTTTTAATAAAATAAAAAAAATCTCTAATCCAGGTGGGCCAAAATTCATCGGTTCTAATTTTATGGAATCGGGAACCGGACCAATATCCCCGGAAACTGCCCAAAACCGATCGATCCAGTCCAATCTAGGCGGTTTTTTTTGCTCACCCCTTGGACGACGACTAGAATTGGAGAACAATAGTGGGTGAAGGAGGAAGGAGAGAAAATTTAGATTTTTATTTTATTGATCCAACTCAACAAACACATGTCAATCAATTATTGAACATATAAATAAATAAAAAAACGTACGCCATCGATGCAATTGACATGACACTTTACAATCCCTGAATAGTTTATGCATATGAAGCTAACTCATATTTTTCCCTCCATAATCTTTCAGTCGCTTTTACATGCGTATCTTTTCTCTACCACGTTATGACATAGTTTACCAAAATGATCATGCTTCTTTTCGCAAGAGCTATTCTGTGCTAGTTCATTGATGTAGAAGTAGTACAAACCATTTCTAAGGAAACGGCCCCTCTCCTCAAAAGCAGCTCCTCAATCTCTTGGTATCCCATGGTTCTTGCTACATATAGCGGCGTCGCCCCGCTCTCGCTCGCTGCATTGACGTCCGCGCCCTTGTCGATCAACGCCTCCGCCGTCTCGATGCTACCGCGCTCCACCGCCAGATGCAAGGGGGTGTGGCCTTCGTTGTCCCGGCACTCGACGTCCAACCCGTAATTGAGGAGCAGGCCCATGGCTTCCTCGTGGCCTTTGATGGCCGCCGCGTGGAGCGGTGCGAGACCGTACTGGTCACGGTAATCCGTGGTCGCGCCACCGCGCAACAGCGACGATAGTCCCGCTACGTCGCCACGTCTCGCCGCCATTAACACCGCTTCTCCCTGCTTTTGAACTTCCTGTTTCTACAGACACAAGACGAGATGGAATCATAAAGACATTGCTTTATTATAGTCTATCATATGAAAAAGGCATGTAACATGTAATACTTCCAACGAAACTTCGTGTACTCACATGTTGTCCCTTATCGTGAACCAATCGAATGGCTGAACGGCCACGATCATCTTTGGCTGTTTCCCCGTTCTGACTCAGCAGCTCCAACGGCCCATGATCCTTCTCACTCCAAAGACATCTCCCGTTCGCCGCCGTCCGATCGTCAGACTCCACCGGCGAGTCAACTTTAAGCCCCGCTTCCACGAGCAAACTGACCATCCTCGCCGAGTTCTCCGACGCCTCCGCGGCCCGGAGCAGCGACTCCGCATCCTCGACCGGCAGCTCGGCGGCAATTCCCTTCTGCCGCTTGATCAAGCCCCTCACGGCGTCGACATCCCCGCACTCCACTGCGTGGCGGAGAAGCAACCGACCCCCGAAAGCGACCTTGAGCTTCACGTCCCGAGTCGGCCGAGACGACAGCCACGAGCCGACCGAGTCGGGGCCAGCGGGCTCGGCCGACTCGGGACCGAGCTCCGCGGTCCTGATGAGGAAGCGGTCGGCGGGCGACCGGGGGAAAGAGGAGGGGAGGTGGGCTTGAGGCCTGAGGACGATCTGGAGGGTGAGGGAGGACGAGGGAGGGATGACCCCGCTCGGCGGGTTCACTAGGAACTTGTGAGGGGACGAGGTCTGGACCTTGAAGGCGACGGGGGAGGCGGCGGAGAGGGAGGTGAGGAGGACATTGGCGCGGCACTTGCGGCGGAGCGCGAAGTCGATGACGACCTCGTGGACCGACACATCGATCAATTTTTCCAGCATCAATGTCGCGGAAGAATAGGAAGGAACTAGCGATTGGCAAAAGACGAGAACGACAAGAAGCGAAAACTCTAATGCGTTTGCCTCTGAACGATGATGGTGTTGGATATGACAATGCGGGGGGCGGCTTGGCGTCCTTTGTGTGGATTGCACGTGAAATTCTCTCGTCTTGCTGTAGGGGAAGTGGGGTGATTCTTGAAATGGCATTTTTTTTCCTTTAAAATTTTTAATTCACTCTCGATAGGTGCGGTGTCGTTTTTCGATTGGTCCAAATGGGATTTCGAAAGGATGAAGTTACGCCGTCGTTGGATGGTGTGGGACTTATGGGAAGATGGAAGAAAGTGCAAGGCACTTTTCGTTGTCGAGGAGGGAGGGAATCTGCAAAAGAGTTCAAAGCTTGCTGAGGGGGAAAAAGACATTGGCACGTCATGACTTGTTATAGATTTCGAGAATTGATTTACCAAGCATAGGGTCACCCCAATATATTTTTACGGATGTATCAAGTTCGGAGTTCATGGCCCTTTAGACTAGCGTTTTCGAAGAAATATCAAAGGACCGGAGCAGAGTGCGAAGCTAAAGTAAGTTTGTATTTCCATACATAAGGTTTTGATGTACATTAGTTTAGGTGAAATTAGTTATTGATCGGAGGATTGAAGTAAAGCTAAATTGTTTATTCAGTCGAGGTTCGAATGATATGGAAATTCAAGTTGTGACATAATGTGATAGTATTGACACCTATAATTAATTAGGTTGTCGACAACAAAAATAAATAAAGTAACGGAGACAAATGCGTGAAGGTCATCGAGGAAAGACGTAGCCCATAGAAGGTTGTTTAAGTAAATGGACAGTTGGCAAGCACTGGAATATCCTAATGGGAAATTTGAGAATTTGAAATCGAAAAGGCCGGAATTGTAGAGGAAGCAAGCGCCACCTGAGATTTCGTACCGAAAGTCGTCGATGAAAACTGCTATATGGAGCCCAAGTCATCGAAGCTCTCGACGTGAAAAAGAGGAAGGACAGGTGTCAAGATGGAAAGAGATCAACAACAATTATCACCTTGAGAGGGATAGGTGTCAAGACGGAAAGAGATCGATGACAGTTATCGCATAATGGAAGAACAGGTGTCAAGACGAAAAGAGATCAATGACGGTTATTGCCTCAGGAAGGACAGGTGTTAAGATGAAAAGAGATCGATGACGGTTATCACCTCAGGAAGGACAAGTGTCAAGATCAAAAGAGATCGACGACGGTTATTGCCTCAAGAAGAAAAGGTGTCAAGATGGAAAGAGATCGATAACGGTTATTGTCTCGGGAGGGATAGGTGTCGAGACGGAAAGAGATCGATGACGGGTATCGCATAAAAAAGGACAGGTGTCAAAATGAAAAGATAAGATTGATGGTAGTTTATGGACATGTGTCATCAGATGAACAGCAAAGATGAGATCAATGGTGGCTATTGAATGTGGTATCAAAAGGCGGTTATTAGACCCACAGTATAAATATTACCCGACAACTTGAAAAAGTCCCCGCGAATACACATCAAAATACTGTCTTTCAATTATATTTACTTTTCAGTACTGCACTTTTAGTTTTCATAGCTGTAGTTATCTACGTTTTAAGCCTAGTAGCTTTGTAATGTTGCATCGATAGAGTTTGGATGCCGCCAGTCCGTAGATGGATGGATTTGTCCGAATTGTTTATAAAGTTCAAAGTTTTATTAGCTAAATTTCGTCACGGTACGAAACCTGTGTTGATGATCAAAATAAACAAGCTCTTTGTTCACGTATGGGTATCTCCTGTCCGAAATTAGTCACAGAACTCGGTCTCCTCGAAGAACGAATTTCGGTGAATTATATTTCGTCGCGGAAGTATTTCCAGCAAAATAGACAGATAGAATCAATCAACTCCTAATATAGTAATTACATCAGAATTTGCATTTTCTAGTAAGCTAGTTTAGTGTTAGTCACATTGGTTCTTATCTCGCTATATCGATCCCAATGATTCAATCCAAGCGACATCTTCTCGATTGCACCCACATCGTAATGTACTTCTAACAAGGATTTTGTTCTTGGTTACTTTGTAAACATTTAATAGAGAAAAAAGCATTTTCGTCACTTCCGATACTTTCAATCGCTTCGGCGTATATAAAGTAAAAAATTTTAAAATGTTGCAATGAATTGGGGTGTTAGGGAATTTCCAATTTGAAAATTGAAAGTGTTTCGTTCGTCCGTTTAAATTCCACAAACTGCGTATAAATTACCCTATGTCGTCAATGTTTGTACGGGTTAGAGGCGTACACTTGCTCGGTTTACGAAGACCGCATGCGGGTCAGGTCGGGTCGGGTCCGTGTGTCGTGAAATGTGAAAAGCAAAGAAGCTTTCAGAAAGTATATTCTCTGAACAAACGTGGGATTCAACGTCGGAGAAAAGAAAAGAGGTCACGAGAAGACAGCACATCTTCGCGCTCATGAACAGCTCATCTTGCACATGCGATCAAACAGTAAACTGATACAAATCTTGAAATGTCCTCACGTGCTTTGACTCGGTCGTATCAGGAACCCCTTTTCCTCTTGCAAATCGAGCGCAGTCAGTGATGTTACTAGGGTTTCGCGCGCAACTTGGATTAAAAGAAAGGATTAATAATATGAAAAACCTCAAATTGATACGTTTATGATAAATTTACCTTGAATTATTTTTTATCACCAAAAACTCCAAACTGATATACCTGTAACAGTTTTACCTCAAACCAATTTTTTGACCTCCAAAAATCCCAAACTAGTACACATGTGACAAATTTACCTCCCGTTAGTTTCTTTTAAATTTTACTGTCAAATTGCTAAGTTTGATGACACAGGATAGTTGACGGGTGGACCAATTTAAGGTTTTACCCCACTGTTTATCACAAGTTTTATCAATTTGTGATTTTTCGTGATATTAATCCAATTTAATGGACACTAACGGAGAGTAAATTTGTCACAAATGTATTAGTTTAGAGTTTTTACTGGTCAAAAAATTAGTTTGGGGTAAAATTGTCAAAGGTGTACCAGTTTGGAATTTTTAGTGGTCAAAAAATTAGTTCATGATAAATTTGTCACGGGTGTACCAGTTTGGGGTTTTTGGAGGTCAAAAAATTAGTTTTGAGTAAAATTGTCACAGGTGTACCAGTTTTGGGTTTTTCATGGTATTAACCTTAAAAAATATCCTTTAGCAACCGAGAAAATCATTGTCTAGGTTGATGTCTATTAGACCCGTCAAACGAAGTGAGAGCCGGGTTGGGTTTGGACCTAGTAAAAAATAATTCGATTTAAATAGATATATTTAATCCGTTTCGGCTCATTTCCACTCATTTTCATACAATGCAAATCTAGTCACCCATATCCAATCTGATATGTACCCGACTCGACTCATATTGACAAAACATTTTCGAAACTCTTATTCAAATTGAGATAAGAGTGCACAGTGGGTGGGCACGAGACGGAGTGAAAGTGAGAGAGAATGAAGAGAGAGCCGTAAAAGTGAGTTATGTCTAAATAAGCTATAAATTCATTTAACATCAATGTTACGTTTACACCCATTTATAATATATTTATTGAATATAACCAATCCATATAAAAAATTAGCCTATCATACATGGATTAACAAATAGTTTATGACCCATTTTGACAGGTCTGGTGTCTACAAAATCGTGTTAGCCTGATCAAACCAGATTACTCTCCAAAGTTATCATATGAATTTAGGCTTAATTCCAAAAAAAAGAACCAACCTTATCTCGAGTGACAATTCTGGCCCGAACATTTTTTTGTCTCATAAAAATTACCAACTTTCACTTAAATCTCAAATCTGACGAACAATTTGAAAATTTCATATCACGAGGCCAGATTGTTTACTCGAGTAAAAGTTGGTGCTTTTTTATTGAGACAAAAAAAATTCGGATTAGAATTGTCACTTAAGGCAAAGTTAATGTTTCTTTTTTTTTTAAATTAGCCTTGTGAATTTAATGTGGACTCCATATACGTATCTCAAGAAATCAATAGTTGTGATAGCATGACCTAGATCTGGGTAATGATTTCCCGAATTTCACTATCGACAAAAAAACACTTGTTCCCTAGAGTCGAATTTTTTTTTTTGTAAATTAAAAAATCATGACAAAAAAATCGGCTATTGATTTTGAATGACTCCAACTATTAATTGTATATCATTAAGTCTTTGGTTATTTATTCGAATATTTCCTAAGCAAAGCGAAAGTCGTAGGTCAAATGTTAATAAGTGAAAATCAGGTCAAGCGGATCTTTCAACCATGCCAAATCTCATTGACGATTGACCACCACCTCATTAGCGAATCAGCAGCTGGTGTTGTTAATAAGAATTTTATTTTGAAACTTTGATTTTTTTGCCTTTATTTTTGAGATAAGTGCCTTAAAAATACTAAAATTCATCATGAAAATCTTAAAAAATGTCATTAAGTCCTAAAATTGTCACGAAATGCAATCGAGTCCTCAAACTTGTGGAATCGGACCAATTAAGTCATTTCGTTAATTGCACTCAAGCCACAAAAAATACTCCAAATTATACCCATTGTAGCACATTTATTATACACTTTCTTTGTGACAAAAAAAAATCCAAACTTGTATCCACGTGACACATATACCCTCCTCCCTTTGTCGAGGTTGCGTAAGATGACTTTTCAGCCAAAATAACATCGTTTTTTTATTTCACTCAAGCCACGTGGGGCTTTATATCGACACTGTTTGCTTTCTGGCGTCTATGCAGATAAATTTTTAACGGTTGTCATTGACAGTAACAAAGGGTACAAGGTTGTGATTTTCCCTAGGATAACCGTGTTCCTAACGGGCATAATTTAAGGCTTTTGATAACTTTTACCCCCTAACGGATCAAAAGAAGAAGGTTCAAACGCTCCCCCCAAATTTTTGAAAAACTTGGGGTGAGAGATGGGACGGTTTAGTTTATTCTTGGGAAGCAACCGGGAAAGGAATCTCTATCCTCTAGGGGCTGGCTTCGGTGGGGAAAATTCATGTTCCTGCTCTGATTACATTAATACCAATTTGCCACATAATTTCATTTATTTAATTACCCACTTAATCACCCCTTCCTAATCTCACTTGCTGTGTAATACCACTCCCCTCCCTACGCTACCGCCATCGCCCATCCTCCGCCGCTTGCCTCCTCCTCCCCTCTCTCTCTCTCTCAAGAGAAACACCCCCTCCGCCTCCGCCGCCGCCGCCGCCCCCCTTTTTCTCTCCTCGCCGCGACGACCATTCATGTGGCCGCCGTCGTGGCTGAGCTCGCGCCGAACTCCGAGAATCGCCGCCGCCGTGCCCAGATCCCCGAGCTCCCGGAGCTTCTCCTGCTCCTCCTTCAAGGACGTCCAGACCCTCCTCGCCGACGAGCAGCCCGAGTCCGGATCCGGGTCCGCGCCCCGCAGCCCCTCCTCCGTCTTCCACCGGGTCCGGGTGTCCACCTCCGTCCTCCGCGCCTGGGCCCACGCCCACCGCTCCCCGTGCCAGCCGCCGCCGCCGCCGCCGGCCCCCGCCGCCAAGCAGCAGCCCTCCTGCGGCTCCGATCTGACCGTGGTCCTCTACTTCACCAGCCTCCGGATCGTCCGCAAGACCTTCGAGGACTGCAGGTAGAGCTGCTAATTCTCACGTTGCGGTCGTCAGTGATTTCCTGCCATCGTCGAACTGCCGTGATAAATCAAGAAACGGGTCGAGTCGAGTCGAAACACGTTGAATTGCGTCGCTAGTGTCGAATTCCATATCTTTCTAGCAAAGATTGAAAGCTGTTTACTTCGGTTTTGGCTTGTCATTCACGAGGTAAACAATAAGTTCGTGAACTCGGCTTACTAATTTAGATGCTCTGTCGTCGTAGAAGCTAGAAAGTCAAATCTGTATTGAAAACCGGTTGAAGCGCTGAATGTCGTTCTCGCTACGAGTTGATTAACTGCAGAGCTGTGCGATCGATCCTCCGCGGGTTCCGCGTCGCGATCGACGAGCGAGATCTGTCCATGGACGCGTCCTACCTCGGGGAGCTGCAGGGGATAACCGGGCGCCGGAGGGTGAGCCTCCCCTGCCTCTTCGTGGGCGGGCGGCTCGTGGGGGGGCTCGAGGAGGTGAGGCAGCTCCACGAGAGCGGCGAGCTCACGCGGATGATGGCGGGGATGCCGGCGGCGGCGGCGGCGGCGGCGTGCGGCGCCTGCGGGGGGCTGAGGTTCGCGGTGTGCGAGGAGTGCAGCGGGAGCCGCAAGATCTACAGCGAGAAGGCGGGGTTCAGGGCTTGCCCGGCTTGCAACGTGAACGGCCTCATCAGGTGCCCCTCCTGCTGCTCATCCCCATGCTTGCGAAGCTTCAAGACATAGCCATTAAAAGGACGCATTTTTATCTTCTTCTTTGGTTGTCTCTTTCTTCTCTGCATTGCTTCTTTCTAAGGGCTTGAGTTTTGGAAAAAGGTCAGCGCCTTTTGTGTCCTTTTTCTCTTCAATTGGGTAAGAAGGAAAAGAGCTTAAACTTGTAATTATTGAAAGCTTTTTAAGATGACGTTTATGGACAGGGTTCTCTTTTGAATGTTCGGATGAATGAAGGTGCAATCAAATCAGTCGACTTCTGATGTCTGTTTTGTTACACGAGTCGTGTGTCCGTAATTGGTAAAATTGAGTTCAGCTGGCCTCGGTCAATGGGTGACCAAGAAGCAAAGTGCGGTCAGAAACGGCCCAAATTGCACTGTCCCAAAATTTCTCCTTGTGAAATGTAATCATAGAGAAAAAAAAAAAATTTGAATCATAGGGTGTGAAAAATACCCGAATCAAAATTAAAATTTCCGAGATTTTTCGAATCAGGTCTCCTTTGTAATAGGTTGAAAAAGGGGTCATGGCAACAATTTCGAAACACATCAAACCGTACGCTCTCTTGCTCCAAGAGAATGCGAAGCCCTCCAAGAAAGTCTCCATCCCCAGTTTGCCGTCTGCAGCTCGATCGCCGGGGGAAGACGCACTCGACTCCGTCCTCCTCGTGTGTACCTCGATCAATGTACTTGTGCTCCTTCCTTCTCTTTCCACTTATGATGCTTTCTCCCACCGACGCGTTCGGCTTCAACTGCTTCAAATCCGCCTCGCGAAACTTAAGCTTCGACAGGCCGTATCTGATCGCCCCGAACGGAGCTCGCCAACTCACCCACACCTCCAACAATCTCTCCGGCTACGCCTTTTACAAGACCCCATTTCACATGCTCGACTTTGAGGACACCTCCGCAGCTCTCTCTTACGCCACCACCTTCATCTTTGCCATCCTCACCGGCGGCCACGGCCTCACATTTTGTGATCTCTCGAACCACGTGTTTGCCATCGTGTTCGACACCGTCCAGTCGCTCGCGCTCATGGGGGACTCGGACGATAACCACTTCTGAATTGGCATCAATGTCGTGAGGTCTATCGTGTCACGGGCTGCCTCTTATTACGACGAGGCCACCCAGTCGTTCAGGGACTTACAGCTCAAGAGCGTCGACCGAATCCGAGCATGGATGAGTACGACGGGCCATGAAAGTCGTGAACGTGACCATTGGTCCGGTGAACCTCAGCCTCCCGAAGCCAAGTGCGGCGCTCTTGTCCAAAGCTCTCGACTTGTCGCAGGTCATTAGAGAGTCCATGTTCGTGGGCTTCCCTGCATCAACCGAGAAACTCGCCGGCGCTCACTGCATCTTGGGTTGGAGCTTCGAGACGGGTCGGACTCGGACTCTACCGCTTGATCTCAGAAACGTCACTAACCCACACCAAAGAGAACAGGGTTCGCGCAGAGCTTCAGGAAGAGAGGTTTGGCAATCGGGTTGAGCTCGTTTTTCAGCGCTTTCGCACTCTTCGTCTGTGCGGTCGCCATTTTGGCCACCTTCATTAGGAGGGCAAAGATTAGCCGAATCGATTGAGGATTGGGAATTAGACTTCCGCAACAGGGCATTAAGGAGTTCGTGGCCAAGGCCGCGAGCTTGGGGCAGCTGAGGCATCGGAACTTGGTGCACCTCCTAGGATGGTGCAGGAGGGACCGTGACCTCCTCCTTGTCTATGACTGCATGTCCAATGGGAGTCTCGACAGTTCCTGTTCGAAGACGAGAGCCGAGAGCCGAGACAAAGAGCCTCAGTTGGGGAGAGAGGTTCAGAATCCTGAAGGAGGTCGCCGCTGGTCTGCTCTATCTCCGCGAGGAGTGGGACAAGGTGGTGGTGCACCAGGACATCGAGGCCAGCAACGTGTTGCTCCGAGTCTGAAATGACCTCAAAGTTAGGTGATTTTGGGCTTGCAAACTCCGGCAGAATCCAAGCACTACCTGTGCGGTGGGCACAATCAGGTACATCGCTCCGGTGTTCTCCATTACCAGAAAGGCCACGGAAAGTCCCGACGTCTTTGCGTTTGGGGCGCTTTTGCTCGAAGCGGCAGGAGAAGGCCTCCAGTGTTGGGAAAAATGTGTTCGTAGGAAATGGAAATCGGAATCGGAACGCAGTTGGACTTTGAGGTGTGTAATCACTCTCTTTTAGGATCAATTTGCGCCACGAAGTTGCTATAAGTTACTGGCAAATTCCCTTTAGGATACAACAAAATCACGGTGAGAATACTGGATAGCAATTCCAGTAAATCTCATAAAATTCTCTGCGAAATAATTCAGAAAATGACCGTCTCGTTTTTCTCTTAAGGAAGACGAAAATGAAGGGAGTTCTGAATCTGTGACAATTGAACAGAATTGTCCAATATATATAAGCAAAATAGAACACACCTCTTGGTGTCTAACTGCCAATACGGACACACCCATTTATGTCCGAAAAGTTGCAATTCGGACATAACCCATCGAGCATGAAAACCGTCAATTTTGGACATATCTTTTCGTGCCCTAAAGTGGACAGTATTGTCCGAATAGTCATTAGAAAAAAAATAAATAAATAGAATAAAAATAGATTATTGATCGAGGCTTATTTTGGTCCGCGGCGAGCACGCGTTAAAATCGCGCACCCGCACACGGATATTATGGGGTCTAGCACATTCACCCATTTTCTCCATTTACAATAAAGGATAATACCTTAACTTATAAATGGACCAAAACTTTCCTCTGTGTCCTGTGTGGGTCAAGGAAATAGCCTTTTTTTTTTTGTTTGTTTTACAAACAAACACCAACATCCAGACCCAAGCCCGAATCACGCCTCCTGCAGGGACCAAGTAATTTTGCGGGATCAGGTCGCAGAGTGCTAACAAAATGATCGGATTCTCGAAGCGGTTGATCCGAAGTTGGGGAGTCTGTACAATAAGGAGGAGACGGAGCTGGCTCTGAAGCTCGGCCTCTTGTGTTCCCTACACCGCGCCTGAAGCTCCGCCAGCGATGCTCCAAGCGACCCGGTACTCGACCTTTTCGGACCCACTTCCCAGGGTCGATGCTACAAATGCCGTCTCGAATTCGTACGCCGCAAGCTCAGCTAGCTCCTTGTATCGGTCATTGTCTTCTCGGGGCATGATCTCTACCGGGCCTTCCAAGTCCAGCAGAAGATCGTGGAGTCGAATGGGTCAAGACTTTCCGCGCATGAGGCAGTATATGCAGATGAATTCTCTATATCAATATTAGATTATTCAGCTTGATCTTGGGTTTGGATTCACGAATGGTATGATCTTTTAATTGCTTATAAATCTTGAAATTTGTAGAGGAGTTGCTAGCATTTCTTAATCAAGTACCGAGGGATAGGCTCAAAATCAGCCACAACTGGCAATATCATGTCTACGGACGACTTATGCGAGAAAAGACATTGGCCCCGTTTGGTTCAGCATCTGAAATGAACATTTGGGCTCTAAAGTCCCTTGGCCAAATGCAAATGAGTTTGGCAATTTTTTTGGAGCACTTTGGGGAACTGCAATTGCATTTTCAAAGGATTCTAAAGGCCTTTAGCCCAAGGCAGGTCTGGAAGTACTTTGGCAAGTTGGATTTTCGGAATGCGAGTTTACTGTTAATCGCATTGTTCATCGCACTATTCATAGAACTGTTCATCTTCCCCAAACAGCAGATCCGGCGGCCGGCGACTGCTGCCTGGGGGTCGCTCGAACCCAGGCGGTGGTCGCCGAGGTCGCGTGACCTTAGGCTGCCTCGCCGGAGGTCAACCGAGTCTGGCTGGTGGTGGTGGTCCGTGGCTGAGCTCCACCTCAAGCTTTGTTTTTTTTTTTTTTTAAATATCAGCAAAAGCCCTTTACAAAATATAGTTTTTACCAAACGGTATTTAGACTAAAATTGCTTTCAAATGTGATTTTAAAATACTCTTACCAAACACTACTTGCATTTTAAAAAACCCATTTAACCTAAAGGCCTTTGCATTTTGCCAAAGGGATTCCTCCAAAGTCGAACCAAACGGGCCCATTGACTAACATCTTGTCTATACCAAAGACAAACAATTAGGGGCCATTTCCTTACCAAAAAAAAAAACAATTAGGGGCCATCTGAATTGATTGAATCGTCATGTTCGCTATGCTTTTAATGAGAACTACCTAGCAAAGTGGGCAAAGCGACGGGGCCGCCACCCCAATGCAGCGGTTGAAGAGGACGGAAGGTGTTCGAGTCTTTTGGAACACTTGGACTATTGAGATCGAACGGCGAATCTTCTCTCTTGGTGGCGATTTACAAATAAACAACAATTTCTAGAGATGGTACGATGATTTTAAAGTACTTGGGGGGAAGAACAGCATTGGTGCCAAAAGTTGTGTACGGAGCTCACTTTGGTACCAAAAGTTTCATTTGGATCACTTAAGTGCCAAAAGTTTACGCCGGCGATCACTTAAGTGCCAAATCGGAGAAAAAACGATTACTTAAGTGCCAACGGCGAGAAATTCCAATCAAATTTAATACGTGACTTTTATATTTAAATTTTAATGACACGTGGCATTTCCATATGTATAATTCAATTTTTAAAAAAAAAATTTCTGATTTTTTTTTCTTTCTTTTCTTTTTTCTTTTTTCTTTTCTTTTTCTTCTACCATGGCCGGTGGCTGCCTTCGGCCACCGGCCATGGTAGAAGAAAAAGAAAAGAAAAGAAATGCCACATCAGCCCCCGGCGAGCCACATCAGTTTAAGAAATTAATAAAAAAATGCCACGTCGGATTTCCGGCGAAGTGGCACTTAAGTGATCGTTTTTCAAAATTTTTGGCACTTAAATAATCCAAATGAAACTTTTGATATCAAAGTGAGCTCCGTACACAACTTTTGGCACCAATGCTATTCTTCCCCCAAAGTACTTGTATATATGAAGTTACGACCTGTCTATGAAAGTATTTGCGATTTCGGGTAATGAAATAATGGTGCATGAACTCTAATCATTCTAGTCTTATAGTTGAGACACAATAAAATTCCTAATTGCAACCTTTGGCACTTTTATGGATCCTAAGCATTTCACATTAGAATCGGGGCGGCGCTATTTCCAATCTTGTATGATTAAATGCATCCAATTTTCACCAAAAAAAATAAAATCGCCCCCAATCATTCAATTGCAATTTAAAGTGGCAACACTTGTTTTTTTTTTTTTTTGTCAAAGGCCTTAAATTTGTTTCTTTCATTCATTTTTTAGTTTTTCTATTTCCATGTGTGATCTAACCGCCATAATTAAGAATTTCACATGTTTTGTTTTTGTTTATAGTGGGAACTATGTTTTCTTTTTTAATGTTAGTATTTACATCCATAGAAATTAGTTATATCAAAAAGGAAAAATTTCAAGAAATCGAATTCCTTTTTACTCTGTCGACCAAATTTGTGGATCAATTGTCAAATAGAATTTAGAAAAAAAATTAGCATGGACGATATTTCAACACAATCATTTGCTTATAAACTTTCACTTTTGTTGTGT